GGATTCGTAAATAACTGTGTCGTCCTTTTGAGTCGTAAATTTGAGTATAAAGCATCATCAAACAAGCTCTTTATTATAGATCAATAAATTCCATTTAATTCCATTATTCTGAATATAGATGATTTCATATATATGTGGTGGATATGTTTCTATTTTTCTTTCATTATTTTTATCGTACGACGAAAATATAATTGTTCCAGAAATAAGGTACTTGGTTGAATAAAATTTCTTATAATACAACAACAAAAATTTTTCTTAAAGAAAATCTACCTTCGATTTTTATCACATAAGCTAAAAGTTTAAATTTTCTAAAAATATCCCAAGAATTAAATTTTTCCCGAGACACTGAGACGAGGAAATTTCCCCTTAGACGAGATAAAAAAAAAAACAAAAAATTGAAACGCACGACTTCCTTTTAAAATTTGCGGAGGAACGCTTTCCAAGATCGCATTTCTCGATAGCTGTGTACCAATAGAAGATTTCGTCGTAAAGTGAATTCGACAAGTGAACGGGGATAAAAGTGGTGGGGACGAGTCGGAGATAAAAGCGAACTTTGAAGTTTCGAAGGTAAACGAGAGTTTTAAAGACGATTTGCGGGACGGAAGCCGACGGCACACGAAAGTTTATCGTTTCGCCTGCAGCTTGACAGGGAAAATTCGAACCGGCGAAAACTTCCGTATCCGTTTAAAAATCTAGATTTCCGTCTTTTTATTTATTTTATTTTAATAAAAATTTCGTCCAAAATTCGATCTCGTCGCAGATTTCCTTGCTTTGTTTCGATATTTTGCTTTTTTCATCATATAAAAAAAAAAAAAAAAATACAGAACTGATATTTTAATCCTTCATTGTTGTGAATCATTAGAGAATTTTTAGAAGAAATTTTTATTGCAAAAAGATTTAAACATTTGACTTAAATGTGATTTGATTTGTATAATAAACTGGGAATTATAATAAGTATTTCAGAATTTGTTCAAATTTTTATAAAACTCAAATTAATAAGAAATTAGACTAAGAAATGAGAAATCATATTAAATATGAAAATATATTTTTATAAGAATTAAATTAAAAAAAAATGCTGTTTAAGAATATATTAATGATAAATATTTAATTATACTTATCTTATTTGAGTATAAATATAGAAAAATCTTTTGTAAGAGAGAAATTTTTAAAATATCTTTCCTCTTACGTACTTAGAAAAAATAATATTATTATAACGAGATTATCCCATAAGTATGGTTTCTTTGAGAGTAGCGTTTAAATCAATGAACTTTTCTATACTAGTAAATTTTATAAAAGGAAAGCAGAGAACTTAATAAAAAGATAATAAATAACCAAAAAGAATAAAGTTTAAAAAATATTGCAATAAATTTGAAAAAAATAATCTTTTGATTATTATATATTATTTATTAAAAAAAAAAAAAAAACAAAGTATTATTTATGAGACAATCTGTGATGGAACTTACAAATGGATTCATCATGTACTCATTTCCCATAATCTTGGGAGTCAGGTCTGACCATAAACATATTACTTCCACTTGCACCCTGTTTCCCTCGTTTCAATATTTTACTACTTGTTCCTAGCTCATAAATTCGCGTGCGCTATCTCGGATTTTGGATTTATCCATTGTTCTATATTATCTCATTTATTTATTCCTATTTACTATCTATTTTATTATATCTGTTCAAATCAGCAAAGTAGAAGATCCTTAAAAAAAAAAAAGAAAATAATAAATAAAAAAATTCTTATTGAAAATATTAAATCA